TGGGGGATGACGATTTCATGGATGCTTACACCCTAGTCACGTAAACCATTCTGGCCCAGCTCGAATGCTTTTCATTTGTCTCAGAGCTGCTCCTGACAATTAACAGGACACTAGTTTCACCAATAAAACCCCGTTTTTTGATAGGCAGGGTGCTCGTTAAAGCCTGTTGAATTGCAAACGAGCTTGTCAAAGCTGTCACTGGCGCCCAGCCCAGCTGGACGGCAGCCACCTTGTTAGCGGACCACTCTCAGACGAGAGCTTACCTTGGAAAATACCGCTGACTCTAGAGTAGTACTTGAAAATAAATTACAGACGCAAACAGCCTCCCAGACTCACTGAACCTTATCTCTTAGAGCATCACTTGGCCACCGGCTTATCTGCGTTTTCTGATTTGAATATATTCTTGGTTACATACATCAACCGTTGCATCACTTTGCATTTCATTCACGCGGCTGTCCTCGAATTCAGTGGCTGCGTTGCATCACAGGATGTAAGGAATGCTCAGCAGGCGGGCGTCTGTGGTGCCAGTGCCTTAGCTGTCCTATGGGGGATTTCTGTCGTCTTAAACGCCCCACGACTATCTTGTTTTCTTCTGTCTGTGCGCATGTGTCACTAGTGCTTCCAGCGACACCTCAAGTTTTAGCTCCGTCTGCCTACAGAATTGTCAGGATCCACCCAGGTTACCCTAAGACTGATGGCATTTGGGAGGCGGAGCCTGAGAGGTGCGGGTGTGGCCTCTGTCCTCAGGCCAGAAGGGGACTTTGGGACACCTCCTCTGCTTAAGCTTCCCAGGACAAGTGAGACGAGAAAGGAGGAGCTGGGGTGGCTCCTCCAGAACGTCACCTGCGTGGACAGGAGCACTGCCACCCAGGACTGGAGAAGGGACCAGGCCTGCTTCCTACCAGTTTTCTCTTCCTCTTCAGAGTCCCTGTTGGCTTCTCGGTCGTTGGTTTTCCCTTTTTCAACACCCGACTGCCTTCAGCGAATGACAAGGTTAAAAGCCACCGGTAAAAAGCACGAAG